ATAAACAGAACCGACGAATCTCCATTCCAACCTGCTACGGTGCCTCGCTCATCTCCGTCGAGAAGACGACACCCATCTCTGGAATCGGAAAATGCACCAGAACGATCCCGGTTGGTCCTCTCTCTCTCTCTCTCTCTCTCTCTCTCTCTCTCTCTCTCTCTCTCTCTCTCTCTCCCTCTCTCTCTCTCTCCTCTCTCTCTCTCTTCGCCTGTCTTGACGAGCGGTGCCCCGGTGTAACCATCCTGTAGTCGTTAGACGCCTGAGTCCTTACTGCCTAGTCACTGGTCAGTAGTTTACTACTCAGTACTTACTCCTTCCAATGGATACTGTACAGTGTATAGTCGTATGGTCCCAGGCCGACGATGGAGTCGCCTCGCACAGGCCCTTGGATCCGTCGTGCAATGACCACCGGACTTTGCTGCAGGCGCCCGCCGATCGACGATCCGACCGGAGTATGACTGGCGGTGGGCTGCACCACGTAGCGCACCGCTAAGAAAGCTAGTGGCTTTTTCGCCCGAAAGTGACGACTCGCGAGGGAGAAGCGGGTTCGTCTCACGGTCTCTCTGACTGGGTAGGCGGAGAGCGGAGAGGAGGAGAGGAGGAGAGCGAGAGAGAAAGGGTAGAGGTGGATTGGGGCTAGATTCCAGATTTCTCACTTGACAACGACAGAACGTTTTTTTCGAGCGGAAGGCTAAACAGGGGATGGGAAAAACGAACATCCAGAAAATAAGAGGGAAATGAAGAAGGAGGGGAGGTTGGAAGTTGGAAGTCACCGCCAGTTCACTCCAGCCCTGGTCTTGTCTTGTGTCTGATGGTGAATTGACTCTTTCATCGTGTTCCCCTTATTTCCTCCCGACTTGTACACTCTACAATATGGTTAGTACAGACTACAGACTACAGACAAGACCAGAGCGACAAATTATGGAATATGAATTTTCATCTCGCCCTACTTACCTGGCGAGTTACAATTTGGATTTGCTGTCGCCTTTACCTACATAGAAACCCTTTTTTCCATTCCCCCACCCCCTTGCTTGTAGACGTGGCACAAGATCACTCACGTCGAGTCGGAAAAGGATTGAAACTCTCTACCTTTTCGTTGACCACGCCCTCACCCCGTGGTCTGCAGCAATGGCCAGTGGAACAGCAGACCCCCCTTCCAGCAGCTTCATGAGAAATGCGTTTTCCAGGTCCATTCTCGAACCCCAACACACCCCCAAAAGTCGCAGGACCAAAGCGCCACCGGTGACAAGTTGTCAGGCATCCATAACCAAGGTCGAGGTCCATGTTATTGTCGGGTCTCTTTCTGTCCGAGCGCGCGCTGAGTCGCGCGACCGTGGGTTCTGGACCAGGCGGATCTGAGGGACTGATTCGCCTGGGGGCTGCCCGAATGCTTCTCATACAATGAAACACGAGAGTGTGGGTTATTGCACTCGTTCAAATCATGACTATAGTAGATGGTGTAGCCATGCTCATCGGGTAACCTGATAAGGGGGTTCGTTCAGATGATTTGCAATTCATCTCTTCGTGGTCCGGCGACTGGGTTGCGGACTGCAAAGTCTCGATTGGGTTATTCTCCGATTCCCCCATTTCTATGGTGCAGTATTCTGAGTGGTCATTTGTCGAGAGATGGACGTGAAGAAAGCAAGACATATCGTTTCGTGGCAAAGCTCTAATCAATAGCGACAACGAGCGAGACATGGGATATCCAAATTCGTTGTTCCCCAGAGGGCCTTTGATCGTGCCACTTGAATGGAAGCAGCTTCAATTGGCGTGGAGAATAATTCATCATCGTATAACTCATCCGCTGAACAATTTCCAGGCTTCAGCGGGCTGGGAATTTTTTCGGCTGCGCTTCGAATCGTATAGCTCTGATCTTTCCACTGATCCAACGACACGTGCAACAAAATAACCTTACCGATCACTTGATACATGAATCCATTCCGTAGTATTGCCACAAAAAGAAATGGCTACGACCAGACGGTAGCCAAGATAGGACTCCAGATTTCCAATGCTAAGTATTGCCAACCCTGGAAGTAAGACCGGCAACGTCGGTGGACGGTCAAACTTGACGCTAGATCGGCTACATCTCGAACCGAGCTGAGGATGCAGCCTGGCACCACCGGGTCATCCTTGTAGGTGGATGGTCTGTATGACATTCTGACCTCCAGACAGCTGCGTCCTATATCACGGGGCTGATACTGGACTGGAGCAGCCTTTACTGTTGTCGAGCAGTGCGAACCCTTCCAGTTCAATGTTCAGCCTATGGCGGATGTCGTTACAACTTCACAAGTTTGGCCGTCAGATGTCGAGTGTGAGAAGACCATGTGACCGGGTGTCAGCTGGTTGGGACTAGATGAAATGTCATCAGATATGAAGGTTGCCACAACTATATTCGGTACATATATCTCAACACAGGCTATTTCAGACATCGCAACGGTTCAATTCACAATCGGGTTGCCATCTTCATAGTCCGCCTGAACTGCCACGACCATGAGCAGTTCACAGAGGAGCAAGTCAGCGGCAAAGCTAATGATATGCACTCGGTCCACGACACCCGTTTTAGCAAATCCAGGCGCGTAGATCTTCGGGGCTCTCTCGAGAGTCATCGCTCGGTGAAACGAAAAATAGCCCTGACAGTATCCGATGCAGGACCACATCATGGTCTCGCCGTGTTCCTGAAGCCCCCAGCTAATTGACCCGTCGTTATCCTTTCTCTGCATGTCCTTCTTCAGTGGAACTGACCTCCCTCGTGTGCATTAATCGTCCCATTCAGGAAAGAGCGTCTCCTGCATTTTCTTGACTCAAGCCCTATCTTGCTTTGCTTCACCGTCTCGAGTCCGTCTAGCCCTTTATTCGAAGATCGACTTGGCCTGGCTGTGACAGTTCCCCCCCCCCCCCCCCCATCGCGCCGGAGCCGTCGTTTCGTTTCCTCGACGATCGATAAATATCGCAGCGTCAAGGCTGCACCCAGCAAGTCGAGTGCAGAAGCGCAGGGTACAGGGATGTATGTAGCCAGCAGCAACAGTATCCCCAACCGCAACTCGTCAATGCGACAGAAATAGTGGGTTCTGGCTCTGCATATTGCATACCTATTGCATAATGTACAAGTGCACGGTGAACAGTACAGCAAAGCTGTACGCACGGACACGCTCCCCCAACTCTCGAGGGCTCTGCCTCCCAAAAAGAAAAAGCATCTCATCCAGAGCCCATTGACTTGTGCAGTTACTCGGCATCAACTGATTTGATCCACCAGACAACAATTCCAAGTCCGTCAGATGTCAACTCCTCTCCTACCAATGACCGCCCCCTGGTTGTTTGGGTCTGACGCACACGAGGAAGCCCATTTGGTGAGGCTTTTGGACTGTTCGAGTCCCAACGTTTCATGCTGCTCTTGCGAAGTAACTCTTTTTCACTTGAGGGCCCAAGTTTCCCCCTGTTGAAGCGGTGGACTCACCGCTGGTTTTGGTGCTGCTAGTGATTGAGAGGTTTTTGTCTTTTTCTCCTCTCCTCTAGGGTTATCCATTTTGAAGATGTTGGGAATAGTGATGCCTCGGATACGTGTTCGGAAGTCAGAACTCATGAGATGACACTGCGAACTTGGTTATCCCGGCTTGGATGGGCTAGGGGCTCGAAGCTCGCAGTCATGCCAACACAATAGGCATTGTTTCGAGTCGTGGACGTAAAGATCGATGCTTTGCGGCTTTGGCATTTCCGAGCACTATCCTCGTACACATGTACCTGGTACATCGACATGTAGGCGCCCACGGCATGTGCATTCAAATCGAAGCACGTCTGAAGGACGTGCCTGCATGCTTCAACACATGCCGATGTTATTCTCAAGTGCCAAAGCTTTCTGAAAGTCCATTGTTCTCTGGTCATCTCGTGTAGAACATCCACGAATCCAGGGCTTTGGCTGCCTTCGTGCCTGCGGCTTTTCGAAGTCTATAGCATCTTGGGACGTGCGATTCAATACCTATCAAAATTCACACAGAGCAAATAACACCCCAGCCTTATCGTCGAACGATCTACCAACCTTCATGTGCGCTTCATATGTAGTTGAAAACCACATCATGCAACAGTATCGATGCTGCGCACACTGCACCTCGAACACATAAAGGCGTCTACGCTCGACGGTTCCTGACACGGGTGGACGTGGCTGCCTGAGAAATGCAGCACTCCGAATCTACCTTGTCCATGCAATACCGAAGACATGCCCTCCAGTAATATCGAGTTTCCTAGATAGCCGGTCCGTCAGTAAGGCGTTGAGCATGTAAAAGTCACCTGTGCCTTCGATCAAGGCTAGAGCTTTGAAAAGCCTCCTTCAATGTCTGAGGGATCATCAATGCATGGATCCAACAGTGTTAGGTAGGTGGAAGCTTCTGTGGAACTGGACGGGATTCATCTTGGAGGGAGTGCTAAGCCCGATGTAGTTAACTGTACTTCAGATCACTATTTGATGGTCTCGATGGTTCCTTTCATTTCCATTTATTTGCTATGGGTCTGAATAGGAAGGGTGTACGGATCGTCTGCTTCAAGGGGAGATGATATGGACCGGGCGATAGGGTCGAAGCTTGTCCTATGTATTAACAAACTAGACGCCGGGCGGGATACCTGCGTTGAGTGAAATGGTCTTACCTACTCGACTGGATTCATTGTGATCGACTTGTTGGATCAGTTTACATGGGGTAACTAGACCTCGGACCCAATCCAGCTGGGGGTTTCACAGATGTAGAAGAATCTTCTCGTCGCCTCGACTGACCTCATCTATTCGGACCCTGGCATTACGCGATGCAAGCAATTGAATAGAGAATCCAATGCACATTGATGTAATCATACACGATTGCATTCCTTACACCCAGGGGTATCCCTTCAAAACTGCAATACCAAAAGACCAGCTTCTATATACATCCCACATCACGTTAAAACTTCGTCACATGTACAAAGACTCGATCATTTAATTGAACATTTCAACGCCGTTCATTCTCTGCTCTCACGCCGCATCAGTCCCACTTGGGAGCTTTCCCCAGACTGCGTCAAGTCCTTATGATGAGGGTCATAGGCGTGAGGTTCAAAAGATCGACAGTGCAGGAAAAAAGGCGACATTCGCGCCTACCTCTTTCCTGCAAGCGCAAATACATCTTGCCAGATGTCGAGCCACTGCTGCTGTTTGTAGGACAGGGGCTTGTGTGGGGTGCGGAACGTAGATGCTAGGATGTCACGCAAACGGGAGTTCAGCGTCTTCAGGGCTAGCATCGACTTCCAATTATGGGTCGCAAACCGGATACGGTTCGCGTCGATTGAGATGACCCCGGAGTAAAGCTAAGTTCGACAACTTGTGTTAGAATAAGTGCTGGAAGGAAATTCAAAAAAAAATGCAGGATAAGAGAGGATAGAATGCCGCAAAGGTAAAATGGCTGGTTTACCTTAAAGTCAGCGTCACCACACAACAGGGCAATCGCAAAATCGTCGACAGCGCTCGTGTCATGGGCATTCAGATTTCGGTTTCGAGCTTGCATAATGTGGTAGTAAGATAACCACTTGATCGCAGAATCGGCGCGCTTGTTGATTGAAGTTGGATGGAGGGTGACGGCCTGGTTGTTCGCGACGTTGCGCCATCCCTTCCCTTCTCGGGCGAGCAACTTTGGATAGAAGCTCCATGCCACGACCGAATTGATGACCACATCGTTAGCGCTGTTCAGGTCGTGTTGCTCGGGAATTGTGAAGAACTGTCGATTGCGATTGGAAGAGCGCGCCCTGTTTTGAAATGTCAGTACCTCGGTCAACCTGCGAACTTCCTCCATGAGCAGAATACCTATTCAAAGCTGCCTTCTGTGCAGCATCGAGAGTGATCAGACCAGCATCAGCGACGGAGACAACAAGCTGCATTTTGACATCCTCAATACTAAGCAGTGTCTGTGGACTGAGACAATTCTTTCGGCAAAAAGAGAATTCACTCATGCCCGGCGTGGTCTTTGCTCGCTTCCAGCAGCAGTATGCATTGTAGACCGTCAAAAGATCGGAATCGCCTGGAAAATCGTCAATATCGAAAGCGTCACAGGATACGGAATTGAACAATCACCTCTCTGGAAAGAATTGCGGGCAGAGTCTCGCTGTGCATTAGAGCCCATTGTGTTTACAAACGGAGATTTTGAGGAAAGGATAGCTGCAATGGTAACAGCAGCATCGAGACACTTGAAAAAGGCTCCGTGAATAATCAACTTGCCGAGGAAGACATCAAGTGGAAGTTTCGCCAGCTGTGAGCCCAAGGGTGTCAGACTCTCGTTGCTCGTCAGCGCTTTCACTTCCTTAAGAGAATCAATGGCACGACGGATATTCTTTGATGATGGCGGGTCAAGCGCCTCAGTAAGGGTTTGCTCGACTTCTCCCAGTTTGCAGATCTTGACCCTCAGTACCAGGTCTTGCAAAGACAAGCGAAGCATTTCTGGTGTCTGCTGCTCAGCCAAGAGGCTGTCATGGCGGAACTTCGTGAACAAATGGAAGCATATACCATTCTGCACACGACCTGCACGGCCTCGACGCTGTTTGGCATTAGCTCGTGAGATGAATGACTCGACAAGACGGGATAGCTGTCTTCGCTCATCGAATCGCATCATTTTCTCCTTCCCTGTATCAACGACCGCAGTAATGTCGGGAATTGTGATGCCTGTTTCCGCGATATTGGTGGCGATCACGATCTTCCTGAACCCGTCTGGGGGCACGTTGAACGCCTTCTCTTGATCTTCACTGGCAATGGAAGAGTGCAAAGCATGCACGATCCAACCTGATTGGAAGGTCGGCTCTGAGAGGATCTCGTCGTTCAGACGACGAATTTCGGCCAGACCAGGCATGAAGACCAAGATCGCCCTGCTGTACATTTCCATTTCAGGCGCAGTCGCAATCTTCAGCAGCAGACTCTTTATGAGCTGGTAGTCCATGCGATACTCGTCAAATTTCAAGATTGTCTCTTTCGTTTGCTTCGAGTAGCCATCCAAACTAGCCTGCAACCCTCCGGTATTCTCACCAGTGGCGTCCGAGACCTCATCTACGTCATCTTGCACCACTGAGTTTGACTCGTCCTCCAGTAGACGATAATTCGTCATTTCCACCGCATCTTCAAGATACTTCATCTCGACAGGGAAAGTTCGACCTGGGATGTTGAGGACTGGAACACCTCCCAGATAAGTCGAGAATCGTTGGGCGTCAACCGTCGCTGACATAAGAATAAGCTTCAGATCAGTTCGTTTTTGCATCAGCCTGCGGAGGACGACCAGGAGAAAATCGCTATCAATCGTTCTTTCATGAACTTCATCTAATACGACATGAGTGATATCTTGGAAATCGTCCGGCCTCTCAAGCATGCGCACGACCACACCGGTAGTTCTGGAGATAATTAGCGAAATTTTGGAGCAAACGGAATACAAAAGACATACGCGTAAACAAGACGAGTGGCCGCCGTGACCTTACTCTCAAGCCTCACCGCGAAGCCAATGAGAGATCGGTTGGTTCCGACATCGTTTTTGTTCTCGCCGAGTTCCTCACTCACGCGCCGCGCCAGAGATATGGCGGAAATTCGACGAGGCTCAGTCACATAGATTTTGCAATGCCGACCTTGAAGCATTGAGTGTTCCAAAATGTATGATGGAATTTGGGTACTCTTTCCACTGCCGGTCTCACTGCAAATTATGAGAGCCTGATGCGTGTCCAAAGTGCTCAGAATCTCTTCCTTGAAATTCCAGATTGGAAGATTCATCCTGCCCTGCATCATGCGCTGAAACGCAGGAGTAGTCGTTTTTGCCAACCAAATGTCCTGAAGATGTTCGACCTGACCGAAATAATCACCTCGTGTAGACCCCTTCATGGGACTACCAGGCTTGCTTGCCGTACCATTCCTTTTGCGGAAATTATCGAGCAGAACAACATCATCCTCAAAGGTGGCTTGGTTCTCATCAATAAGACGCTTCAAATCCTTGACAATAGCCTTGTCGAGGTCATCTTCTTGTTTCTTTTTCAGAGTCGAAAACTCAGTCCATAGGTCCCGCCAAACTGCGGGGATTCGAAGATAGGCCTTGCCTTCCTTCGAGCTTTGAGTAAAGAGGATGAATAGCGCCAGAGTTGACACATAGCCCTCAGCCTGCTGGGAGTCTGGTGTCACAATAGCATCCATTGAGAGGAATGTCGCTAGTGAATTTGATTTGTGAGTGACTGACTCGATGACTAGGGGGAACGGTGTTTCTTGTGGTTTGGACCATCGGACCTCCACGGCTTTGCGACATTGGTGACTAGATGTCGAGACGTCCTGGTAAACTATCTTGCAGGCCGAGTCTCGTGCTTTGCAGGATTCCTCCAAAACTCTTCGCGGGCTGAGGCCCACAGTTTTCCCAAAGTCACGAATCGTGAGTTTCATTTCGTGGGTGGGCTGGGGTAAGCCCAAAATCGATCCATCATTGGCATCAGCCTCAAAAATGTCTCCCAGAAGACCAGCATCGTCTTCTTCGATATCAATGGCAGCGTCGCCGCTGTCTTTCTCAGGCGATACGGGGCCTTGAGGCTTCTTTCTCGGCTCAGTGGGACGTTGCACAAAGGTCGCGTCCTTCCTGAGCTCGTCAAGCTTTGACCTCCAAATGAATTCCGCCTCTTGTGCCTCAAAAAGGACATCTCGTTCGATTCGAGCAGCCTTGCGCTGTAACTTCGCTACTGCGGGATCACTCGATATGTCTTTGGCGATTCCTCGAGCCTTCTTCCCTTTCCCACCGGGGCGATCGAACAGATCGGGCTGAAGTCCGTACAGCCTTGTCTGAAGATCTACCCACTCGGTAACCATGGTGTCCGGGTCAATCGAACTGTCGGAGTCGTATGAGACAGGCGTTGCGGTCTTTGCGGTTTTCCAGTCGCCTTGTTTTTTGCTAAGAGAAGCCCCATTCTGGGGCTTAGGCGATGATGGCCTCGAAAGTCCCAGGTCTGGCAGAAGTCAGCGTTTTGCTTTGACGTGTATTATTACAGCATAATTCCTTACCGGCCATCCATGATGTCACGCTGCCATCCTCCTTCGATGATCGCCCGGTTATCTGTGTATACGATGGGAGGTCCTCTTTTTGACTGTGTATGGCCAGCCACTCCATAGCTTCGTCCAGATTCCACGCAATATCACGACCACTCGGGGCAGGAGCACCGGCGAAATAAGAGAGGACATGTTTCAGTGCCTCTTCTGTACGTTCAGGCGAGAATCCAAGCTTAAGCAGCGTCTCCTTCAACGTCCAGAGCCTGCTGTGAAGCTCCTCATCCGGAACCAGGGTCTTCGCATTGGCGCTTTTGGCGCTCGAAAGAAGGTATTCATGTTCCTCGACCGTCGCCAACTCGAGAATACGATCCTGGACATCGCTCGGCAGCCATTCGAGAAGACTCAGCGAAACTGCTTGTTGTCGCAAAACTCGTTTCTCTGTTTCCAATTTAGTCGCTTGGCGAACTGCATCGGCCTTGCATTTAGTCGAGTATTTGTCCACAAATATTTGCAGTTCGGCCTCCTCCAGGTGTTTCTCAAGCTCCTCTGGAGAGTAATTATGCAATGAGGGACCGGCCTGGGATATTTCTGAAACGGTCTCACCCGTAGGTCTGCTCCCGGGACGTGAGCTTTGTGCGTCGTTTTGGGATGTGGCTTCTGAGTCCGCTGCTGTTGTAGTCGGTGTATCGGTTGTGCTTTCGGGCTTGGGCTTCGAGGGAACGGAGACTGTTGCGAAGCCTCGAGCTGGGTTCGATGGAGTCTTCTTTTTCTTTTTGTTGTTTGACGGCATGATCGCTGTCACGTCCTAGATAAAGATCTTAAACAGGAGTCGGAAAAATCACCTTTTGGGGAAACATATGAGTATCTTCCAGATCAGCCTCGCGAGAGCGTTGCTGGAAGTTGGAGAATTAGGAAGCGCTCATTGCTGGTTGAGCGGCGGAGAATGCAGCTGCCCCCCACACAAAAACTCTTATGACAGCATCCGGGCATTTCAGCCCACCTCACCACGAATTCATTCTTTCCCCTCGTCTACACAACCCTTAAACCTCCTCTCCCCGCGTTGACCTCTGATCATGGATCCAATTCCATGGGACCAGGTCAAGTCTGGGGATCTGGATGCCTTGCGGGTCGCACTTCTCTCGAGTTCGACCTCGCGAAGGGTCCGGACCCTTCAAGAACTCCGCGACAAGAGCGGTAAAAACCAATCCCATTCCGTGCGTGATGCTATGTTTTCGCGGACTGCTGCTAATCCTGGATATTGATTAGAATCTGACCTGACCCCCGAGTCCCAAAGGGATGTCCTCGCATTGCTCTTCCAGACATATCCTCGTTACGTTGACCGACCGTCTCGTCAGGCCGTTCAGCAGTGCCTCTCTTCCCTTCTTCGCACACCCAATGGCGCCGATCATCTCAAAGATTTGACAGAAAAGCTGAAAATCGAGTCCGCGAAGCCTGGCCTGGCCTCGAACTCGGGCTTTGTCTTGCTGGAATGGTGCTGCGTTATCTTGCAACAAATCAGCGAAAAGGCTGACACGCCATTGGCCAATGTCCTCGACTTGATCGCAATTGATGCTAAAGCATTGGAGAATTGTTTCGCTCATACCCCGAAGGAATCGGTCAGACAATCGGCACTCCGGGTCACCAGAAGGGCTCTGCGCGCTGCTTTCTCTTGCGAGGCTTGGGGTGAAAATGCGTGTCGCCAGTCAATTGCTCGGCTAACCAGTGACGCTGCAGCCGGCTACAAGAATGCATTGTTGTTAGGCGTCATCTCCGGTGTCTGCGCTCGACTACCAGCTCGCAAAACAATTCTTGAGGAGTCGAAGAAAGAGCTGCTGGGATTTTATGCGAAAGAAGTGATCAGCTCCAAGGCTGTGGTGCCTTCTCATGTGGCCGGCGGGCTGTCGGACTTCTTCACCTCGTTTGTTACCAAGGACGACGTTGTGAACGAGATAGTGCCCCCTATGGAGAAGTCCATGCTCAGAGCGCCTGAAGTGATCATGAATGGAATCATCCCCCCACTATGCGCTTCGCTGCCTGAGGAGATTGACCTTTCAGAAGTGCTGCATGCTCGCCTCTCCAAGCACCTTCTGGCTAGCATGAAGTCAAATAACGCGACTATTCGACAGGGCGCAGTTGACTCTTTCAGGGCCCTCGTTTCATGCTGCAAGACGGAGTCATTGGTGTCGAAGATTGCCAATGAGCTGCTCAGTCCCATGAAGACACAGAAAATCACGACCCCGGAGCATCGTGTCGCTTATTCGCAAGCCATTCTGGCCATACCATTGTCTACAAGCGTGTCCACGGAGATTGCACAGGGACTTTGCCCTCTCTTCACGCGAGAGTCTAACGAAGCGGCTCTGGAAGAGGAATTGAAGTCATTATGCACACATCTTTCCTTCCTCATCAAGTCCTCTATCAAGATCTCTGACGACGTGATTAATGCTGTGGCCAAGGGAGTATCTGACAAGAGAATTCCATTCAGGAGAATCTGGCAACTTAGAGTAGGAGAGATGCTCTGGAACTCTGACGTCGCATCCCTCAAGACTGCCGAGGTTGAGCCGCTTGTTGTGAAGTTCCTGTCCAAGATGAAAGACATCTATGTGGAAGTTGCTGCGAACGCTTTGCCATCGGCCCAGAGCGGTGCTCTTTCATCCGCCTACATCTTCCTGGCTATGTTCCAACGAGCATCTGATGTCGAAGCCTCAGCTAAGGCGCTCTGGGATGAGAAGGTTCAGCAAGCTATGACAATGGGTCCAAAGCCATCTTTCCTTCTGAATCCTAGAGCCTATTCAAAGGTCACCTCTTCTGCAGAGATTCAATGGCTTGTTCGAGCCTTAGCTTCCGTGACAGCCGGTTCAAGCTTCAGGTGTGCGGACGACGCGGCGAAGACTGCGTGGGCCTCATCCTTTATATATGCTATCACAGGTCCAACATTAGAGACAGCTCATCGTCAGGGGGCCGTGGCCACCTTGGCTTCTGTTGCTCTTCAGGATCTCAATTTCATCGGCCAAATTGTGATCAATGCGCTTTGGTCCTGGCTTTTTTCTTTCCGAACAGCAGAGAAGGAATCTGCCGCATTCTTTGCCGGACCCAGCAGCGAACGTCTGCTTCATTTGGTATTGAAAGGCTTGATCCCTTCGTCCAAAATCAGAGAGGAAAACAAGCTGGACTCCTCCGCTTTGGAAGCCCAGCTTGTTGACATTCTCGTTCTCGGGCGGTCAGAGCTGATTCCAAACTGTTCATGGATCGATTTGTGTCTGGCAACCGGCGTCGACCCTGGAAATCTTGTTCGAGCTCATTCCAAAGACTGCATCGACCGGCTGGTCAATGTGACAACAGATCCTGTGCAATCGGCGGTGCCCAACGTCAATGCGGCGGTATGGAGTGCAGCAGGTGACCTGGCGTTCGTGGCACCAGACGTGATGATCCCTCGAATTGTTGATCAGATCAAGCAAGATTTGGATGGTTCTCGCCTGGCGAAGTTTACAGCCACCGACGCAGCCATTGCTCGTACGCCTGAAGGAACAACATACATTGATGTCTTGAGCAGCAAGTCTAAGCAGCCGGTCTTCGACAAGAGCACCAAGGATTACGATACTTTGAAGTGGGAACAGGAGCTGCGTGCCAAACTCGCCGAGAAGCAGGGTCAAAAGCCTAAGAAGCTGACCTCAGAGGAACAGACAAAGGTAAATGCTCAACTCGCGAAAGAATCAAAAATTCGCGAAGATGTCAAACAAGAAGTCAAGCGTATTGAGAGGGGTGCTGGACTTGTCCTCGGTCTAGCCAATAGTCCAGCAGGTGACGCTGAGGGATGGATCAATGAGGCCGTTAGTTGCTTGCTCTCTCTTTCCAACGCCGGCGCTGGGCTATTCGTTGGCGATGTCGTTTCTCGAGCCTACATCACCTGCTCCGACAAGTTGTCGCCTCGTCTCTCGACCACCCGACCTTTCATCGGGATCGCGACTCTTCGTGCCATTGGTAATACAAATTTGCCCGCAGAAATGGAGAACGAGCATCTCGGTCAACTTGTCACGAGGATACTGTATCGCTTGCGATTCGCATCCGAACAGCGTCCACTTGACACCCCATCGCTCGCCTATATTCTCCCCCTGATCTTCATCATTCTGCGTCAGAATGGTATTGAAGAGGTGAAGGGGGAACAAGAAGGCGAACAGGTGCTCCTTGCAATCGAATTCTTATCCTTCCATACTAATTGCTTTGGGGATGTGCGACTTCCTCGTATCGAAGTGCTGCGGCAACTTCTGTCAGGAATGGAAAGATACACCCAGCATTATAAATTATTCAAGGACACTTTGTTCGATTTTTGTCGCTGCATCGCAGCTAGCATTACCGCTGAGGAACTTGAGACTCTTCTGCAAGGCACCATAGTCCCCGATGCCTCTGTTCGCACATCTGTGCTCCAGGTGATTGATGCTGAAATCGACTTGACCGATCTTGACTTCTCTGTGCATATCTGGTTGAGCTGTCACGATCAGATCGAAGAGAATGTCGAACTAGCAGAGGCTATCTGGGAGGAAAACGCCCTGGAAGTGGATGATGACTCTTATCCTCAAATCGTCAAGTACTTGCATTCCAATGATTACCAACTTCGAGGTGCTGCGGCACGGGCTTTGGCTCACGCCATTGAATTCGACAAGAGCAAATTCAATGGCATTCTCTCCGACCTGGAGGCCCAGTACTCAGAAGAAGTCAAACCTAAAGCTCCGGAGAAGGATGCTTATGGTATGCCGAAGAAGGTCGAAAACACCGATAATTGGGTGGCCAGAAGTGGCATTGCCCTAGCATTCAACGCAATGACCAATATCTTTGAGGGCGAGCAGATCATAAACTTCTTGCAGTTCCTCATCGAGCGTGGCCCTCTTGTTGACAAGAATTCCTCTGTCCGCGCTCAAATGGCCGAGAGTGGCAAATCTGTCATTGCCGAGAGAGGCCAGCAAAAGGTCGAGGAGCTGATGAAACTGCTCGAGACCGTCTTGGAAACCTCGGACAAGGCAAGCCAGACCTCGGACCTGTTAAACGAAGCGGTCGTTGTACTTTACGGTGCACTAGCCCGCCATTTGCAAGCCGAAGACCCTCGGCTCCAGACAGTCGTCAACAAGCTTCTTGCAACTTTGCCAACGCCCTCAGAAACTGTGCAGTCTGCTGTTTCCGAATGCTTACCCCCATTGATTAGACTTTCGGGGCCTAAGACTGCCGACTACGTTCAACAGATGCTGGATTCTCTTCTCAACGTCAAGGAGTATGCTACTCAACGTGGAGCCGCCTACGGTCTGGCTGGTATTGTCAGCGGCAGAGGTATCTCCACTCTACGGGAATTCCGCATTATGAGTCTCCTTAAGGAGGCCTTCGAGAACAAGAAAGAATCTCATCAGCGGCAAGGTGCCCTGTTGGCGTACGAGCTTCTTGCATCTGTTCTTGGTCGTACGTTCGAGCCATACGTTATTCAACTTGTTCCACAATTGCTTGCCGGATTTGGCGATCCCAGCATTGACGTTCGTGACGCCTGTCTGGACGCTTCTAAGGCCTGCTTCCAGAATCTCAGCTCGTATGGTGTCAAGCAAATCTTGCCAACTCTTCTGGATGGTCTTGACGATACCCAGTGGCGTAGTCAGAAGGGTGCTTGCAACCTTCTGGGAGCCATGGCATACCTTGATCCCCAGCAGCTTGCTGCCAGCTTGCCCGATATCATCCCTCCTCTCACGGTCGTACTTAACGATACCCACAAAGAGGTCCGTAATGCGGCCAACCGCAGCCTGCAGCGATTCGGAGAAGTCATCAGCAACCCTGAGGTCAAGAGCTTGGTAAACGTGCTTCTGAAGGCACTGAGCGATCCCACCAAGTATACGGACGAGGCTCTTGATTCGCTTATAAAGGTTTCTTTTGTTCACTACTTGGACGCTCCATCTTTGGCTCTGGTCGTTCGCATTCTGGAGCGTGGTCTAGCGGATCGCTCTGCCACGAAACGCAAATCTGCACAAATCATCGGTAGCTTAGCTCATCTCACAGAGCGAAAGGATCTTATTGCTCACCTGCCTATCATTGTCGCTGGTCTCAATATGGCTATTGTGGACCCTGTTCCCACAACTCGAGCAACCGCCTCCAAGGCCTTGGGCTCACTGATTGAGAAACTCGGTGAGGACGCCTTGCCTGACTTGATTCCTAACCTGATGAACACTCTCAAGTCAGACACAGGCGCTGGCGACCGGTTGGGATCTGCACAAGCACTGTCAGAGGTGCTTGCTGGTTTGGGTACCACTAGACTTGAAGAGACCCTGCCTACCATTCTTCAGAATGTGTCAAGCTCTAAGCCGGCCGTTCGTGAAGGCTTCATGACTCTGTTCATCTTCTTGCCTGCTTGCTTCGGCAACAGCTTCGCCAATTACCTGAGCAAGATTATTCCCCCGATTCTTGCTGGTCTTGCGGACGACATCGAGTCGATCCGAGAGACTTCATTGCGCGCCGGTCGCCTCCTGGTCAAGAACTTCGCAACCAAGGCTATTGACTTGCTTCTGCCCGAGCTCGAACGAGGTTTGGCTGACGACAGCTACCGCATTCGTCTTAGCTCCGTCGAGCTGGTCGGAGACCTGCTCTTCAGCCTCACTGGTATCAGTGGCAAATCCGAGGCTGACGAAGAGGAAGAGGAAGCTACTCAAGCCGGCCAGTCGCTTCTTGAGGTTCTCGGAGAAGAGCGCAGAAACAAGGTTCTGTCTGCTCTGTTCATCTGTCGCTGCGATACTTCTGGTTTGGTCAAGAGTGCCGCAATGGCAGTGTGGAAGGCGTTGGTCGCCTCTCCCAAGACCCTCAAGGAGATGGTGTCGACTCTGTCGCAACTTATCATTCGCCGACTTGGCTCGTCCAACATGGAGCAGAAAGTCATTGCTTCCAACGCCCTGGGTGATCTCATCAAAAAGGCTGGAGAATCAGTGCTTTCTACCCTTCTGCCCTTGCTTGAGGAAGGTCTCCAGACCTCGCCTGATGTGGACGTTAAGCAAGGTATCTGTTTCGCTTTGCGCGAGCTTATCACTGCTACTACTCCTGAAGCTCTCGAAGAGTATGAAAAGATCCTCATTTCTACTGTTCGTGTTGCTCTGGTTGACAGCGACGAGGACGTGCGTGAAGCTGCTGCCGAGGCCTTCGACGCCCTGCAGCAGATCCTCGGCAAGAAGGCCGTTGATCAGGTCCTCCCTTACCTGCTTCACTTGCTCAGAAACGACCAAGATGCCGAACAGGCTTTGTCTGCACTCCTGACTCTGCTCACGGAGCAGACTCGTGCCAACATCATTCTCCCCAACCTCATTCCTACATTGCTCACTCCCCCTATTTCTGCTTTCAATGCCAGGGCCCTGGCTTCCTTGGCAGAAGTTGCAGGAGGTGCCATGACCAGGAGACTGCCGAACATCATCAATGCTCTCATGGATGGTATCATTGACACTCAAGATGAGGAGCTGAAGACCGAGCTGGAGGCTGCCCTTGATACCGTCCTGGTGTCTGTTGATGAATACGATGGCCTCAACACCGCTTTGAATGTGATGATGACCTTGCTGAAACATGATGACCATCGCCGTCGGGGCAAGGCCGCTCTTCACCTCAACAAGTTCTTCGCGGATGCGGAAATCGACTATTCTCGTTACCATCAGGACCTGATCCGTGTCTTGTTGATCTCATTCGACGATCGGGATCAGGAGGTTGTGAAGGCTGCCTGGGCCGCGCTGAGTGGTCTTACTTCTCACCTGCGCAAGGAAGAGATGGAGGTCCTGGCGATTCCAACTCGCCAAACTCTGCGCCAAGTTGGCGTTCCTGGGGCAGATCTGCCTGGCTTTAGCCTTCCCAAGGGCATCATGGCAGTTTTGCCTATCTTCCTGCAAGGTTTACTTAACGGAACCACCGACCAGCGCACTCAGTCCGCTCTTGCGATTGCGGATGTCATTGACCGCACAGGTCCCAACTCCTTGAAGCCCTTCGTTACTCAAATAACAGGTCCTCTCATCCGTGTGGTGTCTGAGCGTTCCACAGACATTAAGTGTAAGCTTCACATCATCTTGCGTACCCCTCCGTGCTTTGAATCGATGCTAATCATTACACAGGTGCCATTTTCTTTACACTCAACAAGCTGTTGGAGAAGATCCCGCTTGCAGTCAAGCCCTTCCTTCCTCAGCTCCAGCGCACTTTTGCCCGTGGACTTGCCGACTCTACCAGTGAGACTCTGCGTAATCGCGCTGCCAAGGGTCTCGGTATCCTCATTACTCTCACTCCTAGAGTGGATCCCCTTATTGCTGAACTTATCACTGGATCGAAGACCACCGACACTGGTGTCAAGAATGCCATGATGAAGGCTCTTCAAGAAGTTGTGGGTAAGGCTGGTGCAAACATGAGTGAGGCTTCGCAGAATGCAATCCTTACTCTGATTGATGACGACGCCAGTGATGAGACTGACGCTGTCGCCATCACGAATGCACGACTGCTTGGTGTGCTAGCTAAGGTGATTCCGGATACCTCAGCTGTGCCCTTGATCAAGCATCGCGTCCTCAACGGTCAATTCTCACACGCGTCCATTTTGGGTCTGAATGCTCTGCTTGCCGAAGCTCCTACAACTCTATTGGACAACTTTGTTACGGAGACTCCCGCTGCAATCTCTCAGGGCGTCACTCACAAGGATCCATTCATCTCCGACAACAGTGTTCTCGCTGCTGGTAAATACCTTCTTTCCAGCCAGGGTGATCACAGCTTTGAGACCCACAAGGCCATCTTCGAGTCCTTGACTTCGGCAATTCAACCCGGGGGTCCAGTGGATACCCGTAGATTGGCCTTGGTTGTCATTCGGACAGTCAGCCGCTTGCACCCTGAATTGACCCGTCCTCACCTCGCAATTCTTGCGCCGCCTATCTTCGCGGGCGTGCGGGATCTGGTGATCCCAGTGAAATTGGCATCCGAAGCCGCTTTCCTGTCGCTTTTCTCTGTTGTGGATTCAGACAGCGAGGTCTTTGACAAGTACATGGCTGGGCCCGGTGCATCCTTGCCCCCGGGCCCGAAGCGTAGCATGTCTGATTACTTCAAGCGTGTTGCTATGCGTCTTGCCAACCAAGCACGAGAACGCCGGGTCGCAGAGGGTGGCGAAGGCGGCCTAGGCCTATCAAATGACGAGGTGGACGATGAGAAGGAAGTGTGGAGTATTGGAAAGGTGGATTTGGTGGATGATTCATTTGGCGACGATTGATGACTTTTGTTCGTGTTGATGAGGATTAAGGAAATTTCAGGGTGTATGAATCAAGCTGTATATAGGTACTTGACGTGGGTATACCCTTATCACAATTCGTCAGTCTATGAAGGCACCAAAAATAGATTCAAGTTGATTTACTACGTATGTCTCAAGCGTAATGCTTCATAATATGGAGATTATTGCGGGCAGGGCTAATGAGATCGATCTCGCCGCCACGGCAACAAGCAGGACCAATCTACAATGCAACACACCTAGTGGAGAGGATGCTCGGGAACGCTTTTCAAGTTTGTGAACTGATCGATCCCGAACAACTCGCTGAATATTTGCTAAACTACACTTTGGAGCGGTCAGGTTTGATACATCACGTTAGTCTCGTGTGATCCGAGTATATGGAAACTTGGAAAGTCATCACGTGCTCTGGATAGCAAGATGATAAAGTTTATGAAGTTGCTAACAAGGCGTCTGGAGTCAGATGAAGATCATGCGTCAATCGTCATTACTCCGCGTTGGATCGAGAACGATGTCTTGGCACAAGTGCAATTCCTTATCGATTCCGTCTTATCAGGCCGCAGCGGGCGCAAGAACAAATTTCACGTGACGGAGTATGTTTGTATGGGACGGGAACCCGATCAGGAATAGCTCGAAGGGTAGCAGCCCTAACCCTTGAATGCGCGGTGGGAGGGGGGACTCGCTTACTGCACATTAGCTAATCGGCCCGCCCCAAACTCCTCACCGTCTGGTTTTCTACGTCCAGTGCAACGAACATCATCCGCCAACGACCGTCGATACGCCGACATCAAGATGTGAGTTTTCATCTCCCGCGATACTCCGACCGAATCCAGCATACCGTCCCACGATCGTTTGCGAAAATTTGGATCCGATACCGCCGATGGCAGATATTGGGGATGGGCTTGAACGGATCAGGATAGATGCAGAGGCTGACAGCGTCTTTTTTTCCTCATTGCAGGGTCAACCTTCGCACCCAGAAGCGCCTTGCGGCCTCCGTGGTCGGCTGCGGCAAGCGCAAGATTTGGCTCGACCCCAATGAGATGACCGAGATCTCCAACGCCAACTCCCGTCAGACCATCCGCAAGCTCGTCAGCGATGGCCTCATCATCAAGAAGCCCGTCACCATGCACTCTCGCGCCCGTGCCCGTGAGTTGACTGCTGCCCGCCGTATTGGTCGTCACCGCGGTCTGGGTAAGCGTAAGGGTACCAAGGATGCCCGTATGCCCAGGTACGATGAACTCGACCCCATCCGACAAGGCTCGAATCAGCCAGCTCTGAGACCTTCTTCACGGCCTCTATCATAATGGGCATATTCGACATGGCACACGCGCTCCGAAATAGCATGTGCTAACATGGTGTTTTTCCCTCTCTTTACAGCCAGGTCCTCTGGATGCGCCGCATGCGTGTTCTCCGTCGCCTTCTCGTCCGTTACCGTGCCGCCGGCAAGATCGACAAGCACCTTTACCACGAGCTCTACCACCTGAGCAAGGGTAACACCTTCAAGCACAAGCGTGCTCTGGTTGAGCACGTAAGTTTCTCCCTACCAATCGAATTCAAAGATTTCGAACGTCTACACCTGGCTTCCACGATTTCCTGTGATCAAATCAACACACCTCGCGCCCTGAACCTCGTGACTAACCAGTGTTTCTTTTACGACTATAGATCCAGAAGGCCAAGGCTGAGCGCCAACGTGAGCGTGTCCTCAAGGAGGAGATGGACGCTAAGCGTGCCAAGAACAAGGCTCTCCGTGAGCGCCGCGCTGAGCGTGTCGAGGCCAAGCGTAGCGCTATGGCTGGCGAGGCCCAGGAGTAAATTCGTTTCCACAATTTGCATTCCGTGGCATGATTTGACACTTCTCGACTCATCGGTGCGGAGGTTATGAAAGCGGATGAAAACATACTGGGTTTGTTCCGGGGAGACTGAATTTATTTTTTTTTTTTTCGAAAAAAAGCGGCTGCACTACTCTTTACTACCCTTTTGTCTCCTCGAAATACATAAGTGTCGCCCTTGATTCCTCGAAAAAAAAAAGTCCCCTTCTTCCTCTAGTCGGACATGATTCTTCTTTTCCTGCTCTGAAGACGACGACGACGCTCACCAGTCTTTCTCTGCGGATCGCATGGGGGTTTGGGCTTCTGGGATCTTTTGGGAAATTTTGGAGCAATAGGGGAGATACAATGATGACGTGATACTCCAGCCATTCTTGTTGATATCGAGAAGGCAAAAGGAAAAATCTTATTCAAAACAAAAAAAAACTACAAAAAAACACTGTCTCTCCCTATCAGTATGGCGTTTCAAGATGATTATGATTTGTTGGCGATTCTCCCCTCCCATGTCTGTTGGTATGCACGATGTAATTGGACTTGGTTGTGATTATCTGCTCAGTTGAGCACGACTATGACAGTTACACTTGCTCGTGACGAGGGCTGTTGTTCATCCTCTTCGTGGACCTGTCATGCCCCGTGTCAACAACCTTAGATTAGAGAACCTGCCGTGAAGAAAGACGGGATACCAACATTGGTACCTGTTCAGACTAGTGCAGGTGGATGACAGCTATAAGTATGTACTAGGTATCACCACTGTAGGACGTTAGGTAGGTTTTAGTAGGCGCAATCGGTGAATGGGGTAGATAAATATCGCGCTACGTCCATGTCCTACATGGATCGAGTGCTGGTCTACATTCAGTCGATAAACTCGATACTAATTGACATATATCAAGCACGGCCCTACCTGCACATGGATGCTTGCTGACTTTGCTTCTGTTCCAGTCGTCTGCAGCTATTTCTCAATATCCTAAATCAACGAGATGGTGCAGAAACTACGCCAAGTCGGCGTTTATAGGGAAGAAGGTTGGCATTGCTCAAGTAATATACATCGCCGCCGAGTGCCATTCCATATCCCTTTTTGAGACGCCGGTGGTCCGTCTAACCTTGATAGGTGTGTTGGATGTAGCCACAGCCTTGTTACCTGATTGAACTCGTCACCCGACCGGTCAATGCCACAGACGTTTAGGGCATTGGATATCCTGGGGTTGGTGATACTTCAATACGCCTCTGCCCGAACAGACGGTCGAGGACGGGACTGCAGTGGAGCGATGTAAAGTCTCAACATAGTCTCTACGGCCGCCAAATGTGGCTCGGCATGAGGCTCTGCGTGGGTAAGACAAGCCGGGGAATTCGGCTCGTAAATCAACCTCCTGAACAGACTTCAACGTCATAAACCTCTGATTGACCAGGTTCAGGACTGGGAAATGGACGTGTCACCCTCCAGCTGAACTGGAAGTACAGTATCTGTGCATCGGAGATGGATCCACATATCTCGTCTTGGTGGTCAGCATACCGTGGTGGATCGACAGGAGACGTTTGTAGACCTTTCCAGAGTATGACCGAGTGGTTGATCCGGTGGATGGATATTGATGAAGACCAGTAAACTTGAGAGTGTATGGCAAGGGAGTTAGTTCCAAAGAAGGCTGACAGACCAAGTCCTGCTTCGGGTATTCCTCGTCACCTTCCAAGACATCATGCTTCGCAGGGCAGTTCTTCGAATATGACTAGTGTTGTGTCTTGTTGGTCACTTTCCCAATTTCGAGTGTATCTAATGTAGGATGGTTTCCATCCTTTCGTTGAATTCAACTGATCTATATGATCCAGACCAGCAACTAGGGTTCATTCTAGCGGCCTAAATACTGCTGTACCTATGTACTAGAAACTCTTGTAGACAGAACAGACACCAAAATGGGCACCAGTATTGAGATGAAGATGGTGACTTGGTTAATACCATGGGTCTCACTTTTCTACGACTCAAGTCTCTGGGAAACGTGAGACACCTCCACTGACTCTGATCGAGCTGCATCTCAAATACTCAGATGATCATCTGCAACCAATAGACACCTATCCACAAGTATCGTAACTCCCACCGCAGTGTCTCTGCATGGGTTGAATAAGTACTGATACCAGCATGCCTGGTCAAACAATGTCAAACACTGGTTCACCGCTCAATTATGAGGTATTCATCAATTACTTACTAGCGTAGTACGTGCTACCTACAGGCTACCAGTATTCATTCCCGTCGCCAGTGCTTCATCCTCGACCCTTCTCTTCATCTTCATCTTCATCTTCTCCTTCGCAATGTTCCCCCTGTCTCAGACTCGGTGAGCCACCATGCCACCTCAACATTGCTACTATTCTTGTATAGTTGGGCCTTGTTTTCACGTTGACTCGATGCTGATCTCTGAATGGTAGCAGGTATGGCGGGGAACGTGGGATGACATGACCAGTGGAGGCAAAGTCCGTTCGCCCAAGCGTCCAAGCTCCAAGACATACAGTCACTACAGTGTAGACTGTAGAGTGTACATCCCCACAATTGCTGGACTGGACGCTGTACATGGCACATGCTGCTGCACCTTCACCTTGATCGGTGCTGTCATGGTGGTGGCCCTACCCCATCGCACCCATTAAGAGTTGAACATGAAAATGCTGGTGGACCTCGACGATGAGACATGCTGATGAAGAATGACCAGCGTCGTGGTCTCTGAATGGTTTGATCTTTCCCCAGACTGGTCGCCTTGAATTGGAGTCCTGAAAATCCAACCATCGCCTTTTCATTATCCAACTATTGAGGGCATGCGGCGGGGCGGCGGGGCGAAACTGTCACTGGATGCTTGGCATCTCTGTGAACTTGAATCTCGAGATCGGACTTTGAGCTGTTGTCTCATTTCTGGGTGATCATGACTGGATCCATGGAGTGTGAGTGATGCAGATGGAATGCGGCCTCATTTAGAATCCGAAACATGGCGAGTGATGTTTAGAAAGCATCGAGGGGGAGGTAACTTTACTATCACCACCACCATCACCCACCCCTACTGCTGATTGCTACTGTGACTAATGCTTTCGATAGAAGAGAACGAGTGCTTGAATTGAGGTCGCAGTGCCTGATGGATGAAAGCGAAAGGAAACCTATATAAAGGTGCATCTCCTGCATGCTCGAGTCCAAAATCATCAACTCCTCAACATACCTCGCTACCACTGTCCATCTTGATACCTTTCAAGGGCTGCCCCCTCAGTCTATTGCTCTCCACATCAATCTCTTCCCCATCATCAAATCCATCCTCTTCAAATTCATCACCCGACTACCACCATCAAGATGTATGTCCCCAAACCTCTCCTCACCCTCCTCGCCCTCGCCGCAACCACCACTCCACTCGTCCAGGCCGTCGGCAACGCCATCGTCATCAACCAATGCTCCTCCCCCGTCTGGCTCTGGTCCGTCGGCGGCTCCGTCGGTCCCTCCAACCGCATCGACCCCGGCCAACAATACTCCGAGACCCTGCACTATGACCAAGCCTCCGGTGGCATCGCCATCAAGATCACCACCGACGAAGGCGGCCTGTACAACGGAAGCCCGCAGACCAACTTCGCGTACACCCTGGACGGACAGGGCGTGTGGTATGATCTGTCGGATGTGTTTGGAGATGCGTTCTCGGGACATGCTCTCAAGGTCGTTGCTGCGCCGACTTGTCCGGCGATTTGCTGGCCTCAGGGCGTGGCGCCGAACGGAGCGAGTGAGACCAAGGTTTGCGGTGCGAATGCGAATGTGACGCTTACGCTTTGCGCGGAGACTTGTTAGGGGCATCGGAGATGGGTTTCAAGGTGTCTGTCAGTGTCTTGTGTTGTTTCCTCGTGGCTTTATTTTAATGATGGATTGGATGGAAAGTGGACAGTAGGTGGAAAGCAGGCGAATGACAGGTGAAAGTGACTTTTCACGGAGACACAGTACATGCAAACAATAGTCTGGACATACTAGATTGACAATGTCGAGTCTTTCCGTGATACTATCTTCCATTCAAATCGGTGTACAACCATCCACCCAGAACTCCACGACGAGCACACAAGCAATGGAAAAACATACCAAAACCAACCTTGTCCTTGACAGCCCCAGAATACAAAGATCAACCCACCCCCAACCTCCAATCTGGAACACCTCACGAAAAGACAAACCCCCCAAAAGTAAACACATCAAAACACACTCATCAACCCCCTACCCTCAACGTCAAGGCTCTCATCCAGACCAAACGCACTGGATCACACCCACCTCAATCCCTTACACTAAGAAAATACTGTCTCCCCCTCCCCCTCCCCAAAGCCATGCACGACCAGTCTCGAAAGTCAAGAGCAAGAGCAAGAACACACCACGTACGAAGCACCAAGCGCGAGCTTTTAACCTGCGCCCTCTGAGCCCAGTGAGCTGTGTGATGAGGACGCGACGAGGCGCGGTATACGACTAGGACTACGGATATCGGTGCTATTCCAAGTTCAACTACAAGTACTGGTCTTGGTACTGGTCTTGGTACGGGACCATGACTTAATATCAATATTAAAAGCTAGCGCTAATGAGGATACCCCGAAACTTGAACCCTAGCTGGAACTTGCCTCTAGCTTAGCTTGTCATCTAGGCCGCAAGGTCACGTACTCTAGTAGTAGCTTGCTTAGGGAGCTGCCAACTACCTCCTAAATACCAGCTGGAGCTGGAGATGGTATTGTATGTCACTATATACTATGTAGAGTACTAGATTCGTCTTTACTTGGAAGAGTCCTTCCTTATCTAATAGCTCACTACCAAGTATTGAATGAGGTGGGTGAGCTACGTGGACGTCCTTAGACACTGCATAGTGCATTCTCTTTCTTTGGTAGTACGAGGACGATATCAACGTGGCGAGGGACATTTTGAACAGGCCATGAGGATGGATAAGGGACGCTGGTGACTCGCTCTCACGCGCATACTTATTTCTACGCGCCGACACCGTGGATCAAGGATCTTTACGATTTACATTTGAGCAAAAACCTGAGATGAGGTAGGAGCAGGACATCCTCAACTGATCACGAGCACCAGCCTTGAAGGACACACGTCAGGCCTTAGATTCTTCCAAAAAGCGACCAAGCTATATAAGGAACAGAAAGGAACAAGAGAAAAAAAGGGAAAGAGAAACAAGTTAATGGGATATCTGATAGGCCGTTGCAAACCATCCATGCAATGAGAAATATAACAAAAAATTCCAAAGGAGTCCGTTAATGCCATGTATTTTTCCATGGGATGATATCAAAGGGAGTCGACAACACAACAAGGGACAAAAGTAATCAATCCAGCGGAGGGGCTGCTCTCAGTTCGAGCAGTAGCCGCGAGAATGATAAAAAACCAAAAAAAAAGGAATATCAGGCCTGCGCACACTCACACGAGTGCAGATTGTCGAAGATAATGAAGACAAGGATGAAGATGAAAGGTGTCTCCTGCGCCTTGGAAAACTCCGGCAGATGGGACGAACGAAAAAAATGTGTCCAACATGTGTACACCCGGGCAAATCGAATTCAAAAACACCTCGCCCGAAACCATTCCCAGTGAAAAACATCAAAAATGAACAGCAGCGATGACATAGCTCGCCGCGCCATCGGAAGAAACATTGCACAGAACAATGAGAGAGAGAGAGGTAAGTGAAGTCGAAATAGATTGCCAAAAAAAAAAAAAAAAAAAAAAAAAGGTTGACCGTGGCCAGCGTCGAGGAAAAATCGGGCAAGGAGAAACAAGTTGCAAGCTGGCGTGATCCGTTACTGGGTAGTAAGGTCCGGCTCATGGTGGAAGATCTTGGTATAAATTTCGGTCAAAATTCGAGCATCGGCACGTAAAGTGGGCGAAATATGTTGACTGCGGAGAAGAAATTTGATCGTACGCTTGAGAAGACGCTCAAGGGTAGCGCGGTCAACAAGGTCGGAGAGGGCAGAGGTGTATGTCGCAGAGAGAACAAGCATGTTGCCGAATTGACTTTAAACAATCATCCCAGGTCAGTTATTGATATATCACAGTGGTCTGCAAGATTAGCAAGAAAGGAAAAAAAGAGTAAAACAACTTACGCGTGAGCTGTGCCGAAAATGTTCGTCACAACCAGCCGATCCTCAACCCCGTCGAAGGCAGTGGTACTGAGAATGGCTGAGTCGATGCAAACACTGCATGCACGTCGCATCTTGCCAAGTAGTTCGCGTACATGTCCAACATTGGGCGGGACCCAATTATTGGAGGAAGAGCACGAAAAACTACCGCCAGGCGCTGAACCAATATCGCTGTGCATACGCTGCATGTTGGCACTTCCCGCTCGACCGGATGATTGATTCAGTATTGGTGAATTCTGCTGGGCCTGTGAACTCGACGCAGATGCTTTGGGTGATTCAACAGCAGGCATAGATTTGGGCAGCGCGCTGATCCGGGCGCCATTCTGTCCATAGTGCAGAACATGGTACAGCAACGGGCGGTGGATAATGTAGCGGGCGCCGTAGTATTTGGCACGCATACGAGCGGCGTTGATATCAGTGGCGGGTGGATCGGTGTCCTTCCAGTTCATAGTAACTGGTAGACTGTTCCGCCAAAGTTCCAGATTCATACTGAGAGTTTCCTGGACACTAGATGACCACCGACCAGATTCTCCTTGCTTATCCACCTTGTAGAGGTCGGTATGAACACGGTTGAGCACCTTTCGGAGGTGGATCTGAGCCGAGTAGAAAAGCATCATGCGAGTGCTCGGTGCCTCCAAGTCGTCTGGGATGTCAATCGTGAAGCGACCTTTGGGCAGATTGATCCGACCTTCTGAGCGAGAGATCCCACTCGCCGGGATATCGAGCTCGGCGAGAAGATCACTCTCCAGCTGCAGACATGTCCAATAGGCAAAGTTGAAGAGATCTTGAGTGCGGCCCTCTGGCAACCGCTCATACCGCTTCTGACGCACCAGGACTTGGCAGGCTCGGGCCGCCTGGCAGATCCAGCCGTGGCTCTGGAATGGATGAGCCAGCTGACCAGCATATAGACCTGCAAGCAGCCCAGCTTGAACATGTGGCAGCTCAACACCTCCTTGGAGCAACCCCAGTATCGTCGTGGCATAACCATACAGGGCCAATCCAGGGATCACTTCGAGGTTTTTCACGTGACCGTACTCACTCTTGATGGCGGAGATGGTTCGTCGAGACAGGTTTTGCTTTTGCTCCGGCCCTCCAAGATAGCTGTGGGTGTCTTGAAAGTGCGGCGCGTACGCAGAATTGCGAGGAACAATGGAATCAGAGTTGGGCGGGGACAAGACACCGTTCACCATATGTGGCGGACCGTTGATGTTGGGCATAGAGGCTCGAGCAGGTAATGGTCCGAGCGGAGCAGGGATGGGTTGCTGGCGATAGTCCACAGCCTGCCGATCCATGATCGGTCCTGGGAGAGGAGACTTGTGCTCGCAAATTGCGCCGATGGCCAAGACCAGCAGAATCACGGCATTGTCGATGTTTTGTCCTACCCTAGGCCGTGCGGATGCTGAGCTTGGATCGGCCGAGGTGCCTCGCGCTCCTTGCAGATCGTCATACGAGCGTTTCCGCTTCTTGTCGCGGCATAGATTATTGGGGTCGGAGGGCGGCGAGGGGGTTCGCGGGCAATAACAACGAATAAAGGCGTCCACCTTCATCTCCAGTTCCTCTTGCCAGAGGAATGGATGCAACTTGTGCATCCGATTGAGATAGCTTTGAAGATACCGGTGAGCCGTTTGCCCGTCGAGTCTCAGCAATCCGGTCCGATCAATTTCCGCGTCCACGTCCGTGTATGAGTCGGAGCCCATGATCTTGGAGGTTCCATCGGGATTTGAGAACTTCTCACTATAGCCCCCATCGTCATCCGGTAGCGGTGGCGTGGGCAATGCTGTGTCATCTGCGGTGTATGAGATTTCTCCTTGTCCGTACACACTGATCAGACCCCGCTGTTCCTCCAATCGCATCACGTAGTCCTCGTCATAGTCCGCATTGAGCAAGCGCTTAATGGTTGGCCACATCAGAAGCTTGTGGGCTGCTGTGGTATGCTCCACGGGGATGGACAATTCTCCTTCATTGTCGTTCTCAACCTGGTCTTCAAAGTTGGAAGTGTCAAGCTGAGGCTGTACGGTATCAAGGCTCCCTTGTGAGTAGAACGAGGATGAGGTCGGCACTTCATCAACCGCCTCAGTGGAGGTTGGCTCCAGCTTCATTAGTGTCTCCTGTGTCGGTCCCCCGTTGGTCATAACGGGCACGTGTGGTGCTGGAAGAGCTGCCACGTGCTGCGCCGACGCCAGAGAAAAGCGCGTGGCGCCAATGCCTCCAATCGCGGTCATGATTTCGGAAAGCATTTGACGTTGCTTTAGTTGCTCCTTGAGGGCTGTCTCATGTGTTTGCCAGATCTTGCTCAGGCTTTCGAATCGTTCGATCATCTTGTCCTCGAGCTCCAAAATGCGGTCCATCACCAGTTGCGCGCTCTTTTCTTGCCTATCCATCCTGGAATTAGAATAAGTGGGCTCGGTAGAGTCCCCGGTACGGGCAGAGGGGGAGCCGCGATACATACTTATGCGGAGGGACCTCTTTATACACGCAAACCAAGCTGTTCTCTTTGCAATGACTGCAAGCCGGTCTTCCTTCGTCACATTTTGCCTTTCGTGATCGACACTGATCACAAGCCTGGTCCAATAGAAAGGGAAATAGTCAGCGCGATGTCCCTGCCCCCAGAATAACCATGTTTTGCCCGCTTAGCGAAAGGGTTTGGCGAACCTGTTGAGCACGAGCGGCCTTGCGCTGTCGGGCGCCAAAGGCTGGATTCGAGTAATATCCAGCCTCATATGAGACCGGCGTTCCCGAGGGAGCAGGTGGGCCGGGAGGCATATAGGATGATGGGGGCGGTCCAGACGTTGGAGTGGCCTCGCTGGGACCAGATGCCTCGGACTGGAAGCTCATGCGGGACCGGTAATCGGGTGGTGCTGAATGTGGTGGTGATTCATGGGGCGCCCCGTTCATGGAGGGTCGAAAGCCCACATGCGGCGGGGGGTTGGATCCTGGTGATGAGGCGGAGGGTGAGCTTGCGGATGGCCCGCCGCTCCGGACAAGCTGTTCGGACGGTAGGGTCCATCGGGGGGTAACTGAGGGAGCTCTCGATTCAAAGGTGCATGAGGATATCCTGGGCCAGGCAGCATATTCTGGCCGCTGGAAGGGCGACGGTCTGGCGCATGGCCGGGGTGACTGTCAAATGCGGGTGGATATGGCGCGCGAGACCATGCATTTTCGTACACGCCATGCGGAGGCGGCGCAATAGGCCCCTCGGAAGGTGGTATCCGATTCATCGACGGGTAGCCGTGTGCCTGTTCACGGGCAAGCAGAGTTCACGGGTGAGTGTGTTTCTACAGGCCAGAGTCAGTCAACTCAAAAGCTTTTGAAGAGCCCTTTTCCGTTGTTTCCTTGGCCAGGCCGCGAAGATGTTTCCTTTGATCTGGTCTCTCTCTCTCTCTGACGCACCGAGGTTCGGAATATAGCTCGATGGGCTGGAAAATGCAGCTCAAAAGAACATGACTAGTCGCGGATCGAGGACGTCGATGGAGCGAAGGGGAACAGTCGTTACGCGCCGACTGGTGAAATGGATCCAGAGAGGGCAGGGCGTAGCAATTGTGGGTATAGAAAGATAGACGCGAGCAGAGCAGAAGATTTGGCGACTGATGATCGGAGGGGATCTACCACGCGCGTGTAGGAAGGGCGCAGAGTGATCGACCGCAAGGGGATCCGCACCGGGAGTTCACACTGACGTCGACGGCTCGGAGAGGGGATCGCAGAAGGAGAGGTGAGTGCGGTGTGGACGCCAAAATCGGTTGGCGAGAGCCCAAGGTGCGAGATGCTTTCCCAGTAATGTGGAGCAACTGGAACAAAGAAAGCATTAGACTACTGGCAGGGGTTTGACCAGACCGGGCAATCATCGGCATCGGCACCGACACGAGTTCCGTGAGAGAGGAGAGGAGGGAGGTGATGAGGTGCCCAGCGAGCGCTTTCCGTTGTATGCGCCCTGGTGGGGTGAGACGAGGATGGGGGAGGTGGGTTTAAGATGAGGCTAGCAATAAAAAGTGATCAAAGAAAGGGCGGGCCACCCGAATAGAACAGCAGACATGCAAAGAACGAGCAGTCGAGGATAGCAGGGCGGGATTCCCCAAAATGCAGCATCTCCACCGTATCAGATAGATCGCTCCGGCAGCTCGCGGGTTCAGGCAGTTGGTTGGTCGAAGGAAAAGAGGGGGGGGGGGGGGGGGGGGATTTAGGAAGGATGTCAAACAGCGCGACCAGTGAGAGCCTGAGAGGTGACCGGGAAGGTGTAAAGTGTAAACAAGTCACGATGAGGTGTGACACAGAACCGACTCTACTCAGCGCACTCGGGAGTCGGTAGTACATCGTACCTGAGTGAACAGGAGCAATACTGTTGTACCTATCGATGTACACCGGAACCACCGTGTCTTGGCCAAGGGACAAGGTATTGAAGGTTCGAGGTAGGGTTCCGTGGATGAGAAGAGTGGGAACAGTGGAGCCCCCGGACAACAAACAGAGCAACACAACAGTGACTTGATGAGGACTTGATGAAATGGCCCAGATGGGTGGACGGTGGACGAGAGTCGATGCACTGCCAGTCACGAAGGTATACAACGCAGTACACTCGATGAATCAAGTTTCGACAGCGATGCTCAGTTACTCACTCGCAGGACGTCAATACTGTATTTCTGCACTCAGGACTGTGGAGTGTGGTGTGGAACTGTGGATCCCAGGAAGCACAGTACAGTATTGAGTAATGGAGTTTTCAATAGCGGTGTATGAGTGTGGTACGGGCGGTATGGTCATCAGGTGGTGGAATGTGGAATCGACACACACCCTCGTACCGCCAACGCCTGCAGCCATCTCGGAGGTTGAATCTGGAGGAGAAGTCTGGAGGATGTGGATGATGAAACCAAGGAAGAGTCGACGATACTGACCTTTGCTTCACAGTCGTGATAGTAGTCCAAGCAATTCAGTGTAGACAGCCGGATCAACGCCCTCGCACGGAACAAGAACGATGGGTGCCGTGACCAGAGTGATGGGAGAAGTAGAAAGAAGGAAGGGGTGCTGAAAGGTGGAGGGTAAATATGAAATTGCGAAAACAAGAAAAAAAAAGGGAATCTGTCGGGGACGAGAAATTGAAAATGGAAAAAAGAAAATAAAGAAAATCAGAATTGTCGTTCGTGGGACGGGATTTCAGAAGGAAGATGGAGAGACCCCGTGACCCCGTTGCAGCTTGATCTGAGGGGATGAACAAACAGCTGAGGCGAGCAACGGGCTCTCCTCTGGCCAGAGTATCGGGTCGTTTGGCGCAATACTTGGAGGGCCTGTTCACACTTCCCAGTAGTAACACCCTGGGATACGTGATTTCCAGTACACCGTAGAGTCGAACGGTGGGCGCGTGCTTGTCCAGTAGTGGTCGCACGGTCAAACAGCAGCCCTAGTTCACGCAAATACCAAATAACCCCAGGCTGAGCGGTGAGGAGCCCAAAATCATCAACCGACGTAGTTAGTGTGGAGGTTCCAGCAGGTCGGGTCTGGAGGGTGGATTGGGGAAGGGGGGGCGAAGAGAGAGAAAATCGAAGGACGGCGGGGGGCATCGGATGGAAGAAAAGAGAATATAACGGAGAAGCCAGAAATTGGAGACGCGACAACAGGAGCGTCGATTGCCAGATCGAAGCCCCCTCTATGGAGGCACAGATGACGGCCCAGAATGGAAAGAGCTTGAAGAGATCAAAATCAGAGTCGTCCAAAAAGTGATCGCGGTCAAAAGGAAAACATGGAATATGTGGAAAAATCATTCGCAGAAACATCAAGGAAAAAGGCAAATAAACATAAAATAAATCAGAAACAAACTCAACCTAATGTTTGAGTTCCTCCATGTCGGGCATCATAGACACAGCAGACGGGTAGAAATTGACTGCCAAAGAACCCAAAAAGATCAGTCCAGCAGCTATGGGTATGCCTGTAATTGGATACTATGTTGTTTGACTACTTCACCCAGATAACCCTTCATTCGAAAGAAAACTTCTTCACACCGGAGCATTTAGAGCTTGTGCCAAGATGCGATACTTCTGCTACTTCTGTCCAGACTCTAGCGAGCCTCCGGACTCCAGAATGACTTGACTCGGTGATTACTGAGTCAGTGAGTCCTGACTAGTTAAGTTACCTTAGTACCACCGAGTAACTTAGTCACCGACCAGTGACACTGACCACTACTGTACTCAGTGTACTGATGGACTCACCTCCTTCACCCTCACCCTCACCACATGCAGAGGGGGGAATGAGAGAATGGCCCAGTGGTTGGATCACCGTAAACTGGCCAGGGATGCGTAGGCGATCCATCAACCGAGCTCTCGTCCAAAATTCAGGCTCGAGCCAGTCAGCGACCGCCAAACCCGAGGGGCTCCTTTTCCAGCCTCTCAGCGATCGACAGAGTGCACTCCAGCATCGAGCGTTGCATATGCGTGTGATGTGTTTGCCCCTCTCCAGGCTCGATCACGGACGCATGGACTGGATGCGATCGGATAAAAGACCCTCCTCGTCGTCGTGGTCAGTCTCGGTGTGCCATCGAGGGGCTAGTGCTATACAGACTACAGAGTACAGCCTACAGCCTACAGCCTACATACTACTGCGTCCGCAATGCAACAGTGTCCAGCGCGTAGCTGAGCATCTAGTCCAGATATTCCTTGTCCGCCGTTGATATCGCGCGTGGCTTACGGGTGGGAAAGCTGGAAGAAGAACCAAGTCCGCAGTCCCAGAGCACCCATCACTGATCACGGAAGTATCCAAAGGGCCGACACTGTTCCCTCGTCGCAACGTCGCGCAGGGGGGAAGTCAATACCTAAGGTACTTACTTTTACTTTACGCTAATAACTGTCCAACGTACCCAAAAAAAAAAGCAAAGTGATATCTTCAACCGCCGACTAGGATTCACAACGGGACCACCACACCCACCGACCCATCATGAGGACTGCAGTACCGCACGGCGCACTGTATACCCGAATCAACTTCAATCGGACCAGCTCGTCCAGAACTTCAGAGTGTCCACCGGTCTCGCCAAATCCACAGATCCCCAGGATGACCAGTGTAGACGCCAGACGGTAGTCTGGAGTCGCCTCTTCCACCATACTTTTGATTGCAGTGTCTCATCCGTGTGAGCTGGCAGGCTCATGGCGGGATCTTGCAAAGTTCAGTGCTAACCATCCCAGAGGCCTTGAGCCTATCGATCTGCCGGCATGAGGGCGGAGACATGATGATATCCTACAACCTCGATGGGAGATTTGACAGGTCTGCTTTTTGGCTGCAGTACTGTACATTGTACACGGTATGACTGCACTAGCCTAACTACCTAGTAGTTAACTACATGCTAGGTACTGGTAGCTTGTTATGTAACTACCTAATACCTATAACTTGGTAACTTCGAGATGTGGTATGTATATACAGTATGTAGTACAATGCTCATTCGTGTCCTGCTTCTCCGATCGTGCCTTTGAAAGCCACAGTGTCACGGTAGAAATGTTTCTATTGTAACGGAATGTGTCCCCTTCTTCAGCACTCCTTCCGTACATTCACTAAATTGCGTAGTCATACGGCACAGCACAGGTGAGGTACTTCCAGGAAGACTATGTGGGCCCCGCGGCTGTACAATTCCCCGTCTACTGAACACGCGGAGAAGTCGGAGATTTTGTAAGTCTGTAGTGACAATTGACTTGAGACCGAATCTCATAGAAGTAATTGGAAGAATGGTTGATCTCACAGATGATGAAATCACTTGTTGCAGATCCATCGAACTAGTCTATTTACCTGGATGTCGGGATCAGGAAGCTGGCCTATCGAACCCTGTCCTGTCGCGCTCAGGCTTCAAGACAGGGAGAAGCAAAGCAACGTTCATCAATTGCGGTGATGGATGCAGACTGGAGAGTAGTATTACTACAGTTGGTCTGACCAACAACATCAAGTGGATCGTCCTAAGCACAATCCCAAATCCCAAACTGGGCCCCGTCCGCATAGCCTCAGGTACCCTAGGCCTGAAGCATGGAACCAGTTTCCCCTGCTGCGAAAAATAAAAGATTCCCTTCTTTTGTTTCCTCGGGCGGACAATACCCATTGTGGACGAACCGACTCTCCTATCAAAATCATCGCTTCATCGGCGCTTGGTGATTTGCTCCGCCTAATGGATATGACTGACCTTCCTAAGTTGGAGGACAACTGAGCTTGTAATTGACCCGGTGATTTTCGTTCGAAGCGTCTTCTTCGCTACCCTCCGAAAGCTAATGCGGCTGGAATACGCACGGATCTCATGCACTTTATACGGAAATGTCCGGACAGAAGGCCCTCCAGCCCTGCATTGAAACTATATCAGCTATTCTGATTATCTATGACACCACGATCCATCACTGATCCTCTCTTCCACATTGTTCCCCCCGTCATCTACAGCTCCCCCGTCATCTCCAGCTTAATTATCATCGGAGAGACGAGGGAAAATTTTAGTTGATGGTCAAAAGTACCAAGTAAAGTTCACCACACGGCACAGAGGACCACACATAACTTCCAATTGCATCTCCGCCCCGACTCGTACACAATGTAACCGATCCCACCTGCACACTCTCTATCCTTGATCACTTTGACAACCCCACCGACCTTGCCAATCCAGCCAGAACCCACCTTCACCCTCTGAACTTACCGTACAGGACACGACTATAATTATACTTTTCACAGTCTTTGGCCTATCATGCTTCCAAAGATCGTCGATGACGAAATATAAGACACCTCGACTCAACACAGAGTTTCCATCGCAGCCCCGAGAACCTGTCCACCGGGACAATCTTGAAGTTTCCAGGTTCCCTGCATGGTATATACCATGACCCTCCAATGGGTTGTCAAGTCAAATCTTCGATCTGTGTTTGAAAGCTCCTCGAGAAAGAGCGATGCATGAACATGGAACAATGTACGACCGGAGGAGAACGAGGCGGACACGTCTCCAAGGTCGAAAAGCTAATCGTAGTGTGTCGAGTCATGCTCGGTGTCGGTGTCTTGATTGCGTGCTTCACGCAGGGTACAGCGTACCGAGTGCAGCACTCTACTTCAACAGGTTGCAAGGGGGCTGTCTCTAGATTTGCGACATGTGTCTAGGATCTCGAAGTCCTATTTATTCAATGTCAACCTTGAGATGTCATTTCTCTTTCACAGCAAGACATGGTTATGTCAATGGAAGACAGTGTGGTGTTCGAGGATCACCGACGGAAGTTCAATACATGTCGGAATGCCCCCCTTCACGGTTAACTCAACCGAAATGGCCGGAGTCGGGAGCCCAGCAGAGTGGTAGAATGATAACTTTCAAGGGCGGATCGACGCGAGTGCAACCCAGCACTTTGGACAGCATGCGCTGTGCCGCCAGTGGCGTGCAAATGGTGAACGGAAGGGAGACAAGGCCAGGGAGACAAGGTCGAACTCAAAATGTTGGGCCCACTCCACTGGTCTTGCTCTCGCTACAGACACCTCCATTACTGGAAGGGGAAGGTCAAAGAGGAGGGAAAGGGCGGAAGGCGAATTCGAAACACGGTGGACGGAATGGAATGTCTCTCAAGTCTCTACATATGTACAATAAGTAAGAACAAGCGCCAAGGAGACTGCGTGTATTCATCAAATGATTGTCCACTTGGCAGAATGTTCCAAGAAACCAGAGCTTTTTCTACCCGAGCAGCTTAGAAAAGAGAACGGCTTTCTGGACCCGAATACGTGGACACAGTATTATAATACAATAGGTTTCAAAGTTATAGTGTCTGCGACAGACACTGAATACGTGTTGTATCGTGAAACTGCACAGCCGTCAAGGTATTTCCGTAACAAAGAGGGCGGCCCGCTTAAGACTCTTATTTAAAGATGCGCGGAACAGCCGTCAGATCAACCACGGGTATGCTACACGGGAGTCTCCGTATGTCTACCACGGATCATGTAGGTAAACATCAACTGACAGTGCGGAGCCAAAACACACAATGCAGTAAACATGTTAAGCTTGGTGTGGATAGCATTGTCTCTCTCCCCAGAAAACAGGCCGACATACTCTCTGGAATACCGACAGACCACGGATCGACAAATGAAATCTCCAACCAATCTTTTAAGCAGGACCAATCTCCGGCTTCCGCAGTATCCGTTACCAATATCCACTACCAGCAGCAGAATCCTTTGGCACTCGTTTTCGCAGGCCGATCAGCATCCCCATCGAGTAGTCAATCGCTTAGGTCCCGATGTAATTTGTTTCAAATGGAATTGCCACTTCCCTTTCTCCGTGTTATGGCAAACACAGGACGACAGTACTAAGTTTACTAACGGGTATTCAATAGTGAGTGGATGTTGGCCATGACTTTAATTTCAGCCGAGGCGGATTCCCATCGTTGGTCATTCAATAGTCAAACGGGGGATCCAATAGTTGGATTAGACGGGGACCCACCTCGTAAACGCCGCTGGTGTTCTCCGCATACCTTTATACGTACTACAATTGTGGTGATCAGTGTAAGAATAAAGTGTAACTCGAATCCTAATCCCAAATTGGTCAGGCCTTTTTGTTTCAGATCTACCCAATGATATCCTCCGAGGTCGTGTGAATAATGAGTAAGGTTATAGACTAATTTGTTAGAAGAACACTGGTTAGGCGAGTATCGGGTGTCAATATGGTCGGAACTGGAAATACCAAGAACACGTCCAAGGCGTATGTACTGCAAAAGTCATCCCAGTCGGCTGTGTCTAATTATCTATCAGGTTAGATATGTAGTTCAAACTTCAGTCACACTATCGCATTCACATCTCCAGACGACTCGTTAGGTAAATTGTTCCAGTCACAAAGCAGATGGTAAAGTCGGAAATTTTCGACCTTTCCCACCACATGGCGCCCCAATTAGCCCTTGATCTTATCAAGCAAACATTGATGACCGCCACTACTTCCGCATTAACCCAAATAGCGGCCGTAATAATCCTCTGGGACACCGATCGGCTCGTGGGGTTATTTTTAAATCCAATCGTCCTGGACCTGAAAATCCTGCCAGGCCTAATTTCTGGCCGCTGATCCGCCCGTTTTCCAGGAGCCGCGACCTTGGGTTGGTTGGGCGCATCCTGCCCGATAACTTGACGATCTACGTACTTCTTGTGTGTGGCATGTGCTGTGCTTTCAGCCCGGACAGAGATAGGAATCCTTCGAACGCGCAACGTCCTGCGCTAAGTGTCTCGGAACTACTCGGTAGCCTATAGAATTAGACAGAGCTGATAGCTTGGTCTTGTCTCGTCACAATGCTGCGAAACTGGTTCACGTCTGTTTGTTTGATATCAGAACTGATGTATATTCACACGATTATGAGAATCATATTGCATAATTGCAATGTCGTTGTATACATACAGTACATACATGTTACAGTACTATACCGTGCCAAATTTACGGTATACTGCCCTAGTGCCCGGTGCCCGGAGTGCAAACTGCAGATTATGATAGAGTCTTCGGACTTTCTTGAACACTAAAAAGTTCTTGGAGGTCTAGGATCAGGCCGCGGGCATTTACTATAATACAAGAATCCCGCTTAAGCTCTATCTATGCCTGTTTTCTCCTTTTTTCCTTCGGAGGTTTTCACCTCTTTTGCTTGGCCCGAGCAAAGTATACGATAAGTTTCTGGGCCTGTTCCTAACTTACATATTTACACGACCTTAATTACTAGCCCAATGTCTCAGCTCAGCTTTGTAAAGACAGCAAGACCATTGGCTATCCCGGCATTTGAGACTACAAGAGCTCGCTCTGCGTGGCGAATTGGCTGCAGTCAGTCAAACCTGGCGCCCACTGTATACTTTCAGTTATGGTGCTCAATCAAAGTCGTCGCACCCTATTCAAGACCCAGGATGTTCTCTCGTGTATTCCCTTCAAAGCGTACCTTGCATGCAGCATACATGAGATTTCGACTGTTCCAGCTGATGTCTTAGAAGGCTCACAGGGGCAGTGCCTTTGACACAGTGAGATCGCACAAGCACCACCGCGCAGTCTATCTGCCAGGTAGAAGCCAATCTTGCATGACGCAGCTTTGCCACATAGCGAATGCACAAGGCCCGTCCAGTGATATGTGTGCGTGTTCACAGCAGCTACGCACCC